TGTGCTGGGAGCGCTACATACTTACCATTGGAGATCTCTATCTTGTTGGTGTTATGTTGAGGTCAAGTTATCTTCCACTGGTCTTGACTGGAACTGTCTTGAGAGTTTGGAGAGTCCGTCTTTTGAGTTGGGACTGGACGGAGAGAAGCAATGAAGCTTCAGTTCAGTTGGATGCTTTCAGCCTGTGACTGGAGCCTGTCTCGTTGAGCTCAGCTGCCTGTCATGGCTCGTGCGCTCTTGAAGCTGCATTGCAGTGTTGGGTCCAAACGAATGGAAAATCTCGCCTTCCGTTCATTCTTTCATTGGTCAGCAGTCAAGGTACTTGGGTACATCCAGCCTAGGTAGCAATGGACCCACTCAAGGCAGGAGCTCCCTGACGTGGATGCTCCCCTCGGCCGTCAGTTCGTCACTGCGAACAGCCAACCAGCCAACCAGAACCTCTCATTCCAGCGCCCGCCAGCTCCATCGCTGCCCACTGCTGTCCACTGAAGCCATCACTGCACCTTACTACTTACTATCTCGACCTTGACGGCAACAAAACAACGGAACCTATCTCGATTCCACTCGCTCTCCTCAGCAAACAAACAACCCAAATCGCCTCGTCCATATCCCATCCCATTACACAACCACCACGCGGCGCACGAGGACGCTGGCTGTTTTCTACAATACCCCGAATCTAAACAACAACCAGAAACCGCCACCGCGAAGCTCGCCGCCATCCCACTTCTTTTTCTATCAACATCACCAAGATGCCCGGCCTCGTCACCGCGACCGGCGTGTTGGCCTTCCTCGCCGATGAGGAGCCCGAGCTCAAGGTCTTCGCCCTCAAGACCCTCAACGATGATATCGACACCGTTTGGACCGAGGTCGCTGGCGCCTTGACCCAGATGTGAGTAGCTCCCTGACACCCGACACCAAGCTACGCTGTTTAGTGTTGGTAAGCTCAGCTGGGCACGCGAGCTAATCTGTCTGTCTGTCTCCCTCTCCAGTGAGGCCCTCTACGAAGACGAGACCTTCCCCGAGCGCCAACTCGCTGCCCTTGTGCTCGCCAAGGTCTACTTCCACCTCCAAGCCTACAACGAGAGCATGACCTTTGCCCTGGCTGCCGGTCCCCTCTTCAAGCTCGACGCCCCCAGCGAGTTCGAGGAGACCATCATCTCCAAGTGCATCGACCAGTACATCGCCGTCTCGTCTCTCCACCACACGCCTTCCAAGAAGGACCTGCCCGCCCTCGAGACCGATCTCGGCAGCGGTGCCATCGATAGCTCGGCGCTGATCTCCCCCACCACGCCCTTTTCGCAGTCTTCGGTCCCCTCCAAGTCCCTGCTTGCGCGCGCATCGTCTGACGACAACACCATCCTGGATCCCACCTTCCAGCCCACCAAGGAGACTCGCTCCGCCTCGATAGCCCAGGTTCATGACACCGCCACCCAGGTGGCGCTCCAGAACGTCATTGAGCGCCTGTTTGAGAGCTGCCTGAAGGAGGGCAAATACAGACAGGTGGTGGGCATTGCTGTCGAGGCCAAGAACCTGGATGTTCTGCGTCGCGTCATCAAGCGCGCCAACCAAGACGTCAAGTCGGGCAAGACCAAGGTACAGGAAGGTAGCCAGGGGCCGGCGGAGGAGCTGATGGACTATGCCCTGAGCATCTGCATGGACATTGTCCAGGAACGCGGCTTCCGCACCGAGATTCTGCGCCTGATCCTCGATCTCCTAAACGACATTCCTAACCCGGATTACTTTGCCATCGCTAAGTGCGTGGTCTATCTAGATTCGGACGAGGAGGCGTCCCGGATGCTCCGCCAGCTGGTTGCCAAGGGCGAACAGGACTCCATCGCCATTGCCTACCAAATCGCCTTTGATCTATACGACAACAGCACTCAAGAGTTTTTGGGCAAGGTCATCAAGGCTCTGCCTTCTGGCGAGCCAGCCAAGCCCAAGCCTGCCGAGGGAAGCAACGACGCGGCTGCGGAGCGTGAGCCTCTTTTGGAAGGCCAGGAGAGCTCTGAGGAGGAACTGCCCGAGGAGGTGGCCAAGGTCTACAAGAACATCCGCACCATTCTCGACGGTAGCAAGGTCATCAAGCTCAATCTCGAATTCCTCTACCGCAACAACCACGCCGACATGAGCATCCTCAACAAGGTGCGCGACAGCTTGGACGGTCGCAACTCCATCTTCCACAGCGCCGTCACCTTCTGCAATGCCTTTATGAACGCTGGCACGACAAACGACAGATTCTTCAGAGACAACCTCGAGTGGCTAGGAAGGGCCGTCAACTGGTCCAAGTTCACGGCCACTGCCGCGCTCGGTGTCCTGCACCGTGGCAACGTCACCCAGTCTCGCAAGCTCCTCGAGCCCTACCTTCCCCGCCCCTCTGGCGTCAGCACGGGTTCCGTCTATAGTCAGGCCGGCGCCCTTTACGCTTACGGTCTGATTCACGCCAACCACGGCGCTGATGCTCTGGACTACCTCCACCAACAGTTCAAGGACGCCGATCAGGAGGTCATCCAGCACGGTGGCGCTTTGGGTCTGGGTATTGCCGGCATGGGCACTGGCGACCAAAAGATCATTGAGGATCTCAAGGAGGCTCTCTACTCGGACTCGGCCCTCAACGGTGAGGCCGTTGGTGCGGCTATGGGCTTGATCATGTTGGGAACTGGACATGCCGCCACTATCGATGCCATGTTCACGTACGCTCATGAGACCCAGCACGAGAAGATTGTCCGGGGTATCGCCTTGGGCATTGCTCTCATCATGTTTGGACAGCAGGAGGGTGCCGACAGGACGATCCAGCTTCTCCTTGCGAACCCCGACCCCATCCTCCGCTATGGTGGTGTTCTCACGCTCGCCATGGCCTACTGCGGTACTGGCAGCAACAAGGCCATCCGCAAGCTGCTTCACCTTGCCGTCAGCGACGTGAACGACGATGTCCGCCGTGTTGCCGTCATGAGCTTGGGCTTTATTCTCTTCCGCAAGCCCGGCAGCGTACCTCGCATGGTCGAGTTGCTCGCCGAGTCTTACAACCCGCACGTGCGCTACGGTTCGGCCATGGCCCTCGGTATCGCGTGCGCCGGAACTGGTTTGGACGAAGCGATTGACCTGCTCGAGCCCATGATGAAGGACCCTACCGACTTTGTCCGCCAGGGTGCGCTCATTGCTCTGTCCATGATCTTGGTTCAGCAGAACGAGGTTATGAACCCCAAGGTTGCGGCCATCAGGAAGACGCTCAAGAAGGTGGTCAGTGACCGTCACGAGGAGCAGATGACCAAGTTTGGCGCCGCGCTTGCCCTCGGTATCATTGATGCCGGTGGCCGCAACTGCACCATTGGTCTTCAAACCCAGACGGGCAACCTCAACATGGCCGGCATTGTTGGTATGGCTGTGTTTACCCAGTACTGGTACTGGTTCCCCTTTACCCACTTTTTGTCTCTTAGCTTTGTGCCCACGTCCATCATTGGTCTCGACAGTGATCTGGCTATTCCCAACGTCAAGTTCCACTGCGCTACCCGTCCCAGCTTGTTCGACTACCCACCGGAGCAGGAGGTCAAGGTGGAGGAGGGACCCGCCTTGGTCACGACTGCGGTTCTGTCTACCACGGCGCAGGCCAAGCGCCGCGCCCAAAAGAAGGAGAAGGCGCAGCGTCGTGAGAGCATGGATATTGACACGCCGGCTGTTTCCAAGACAGCTTCCCAACCTGCTGCCGAGGACAAGATGGATATCGACGACGATAAGAAGGCCGCCGCTAAGCCTGAAGAGTCCAAGGAGAAGAAGGAGGGTGAGTCTGGCGAGAAGGAGGCAACTGGCGCCACCGACGCCAAGAAGAAGGCGGAGAAGGAGAAGGTTGGCTACGAGATTGAAAACATGTCTCGTATCCTGCCTGGCCAGCTCAAGTACATTAGCTTCCCGGCTGGGCGTTATAAGCCAGTCAAGAAGGTGAGTTGCCCTGCATTACTTAATTTACCTAACTCATATCCTCTGTACTAACTAATTTTGCTTCTAGCCTACCGGTGGTCCCCTCCTCCTCTTCGACACTCAACCTTCGGAGGCCAAGTCCCTTGTAGAGGAAAAGCTCAACAAGGTAACCACGGAGCGCGCCCCCGTTGCCGGCGCCGGCGCTTCGGGTGCCAGCGACGGAACCCCCCGTCTCTCTGGCGGGGCGGCGCAATCACTCCTTAGCCAGCTCCAAGGAACGGGCGCTTTCAACCGGTCCAGCATGCGGGAACTCAGCGAGCTGCTGCAGCTTGGCCAGCGTATGGAGCAAGATGCTTCTGCAGGACTCGGGGAGAGCAGAGCTCGCGGTTCTGGGGGTGCTGCGGCGGGAAGTGGAACTGGAGCAGGTGCCACGGCTGGTAGCGGTGCTGGTGCGGCTGCTGCTGCTGCGGTGCTGAATGCTGTTGATGAAGATGCCGAGGGTGATGAGGAGGCGCCGACGCCGGCGGAGTTTGAGTACTTTACTGATGCGGAGGCGGATGATGAAGAATAGAGGTCTAAGCGGAAGCCAAAGAAGTAGTAAATAGATGGGGGTGAAATGAATGGTGAAGAGAATGAATAGACGGGCATTGATATCATGTCACGGTGTTATGTGTCTGGTCAGTGCCATGGTGGTGAATGAAAGCGACGGAAAATGAGATGAATGGTGATGGTTTGATAGAAGTCCCGGTGGTGTTTACATTCCAAGTTAAGCATGTACAGTAGGGAGTATCTTGCACCAAGGCCCATTATCAGCGATACTAGAAATCAGCGAATACACTACTTCGGAATGTACATATCACTTGAGGACTGATTCATCCAGCAACATGTCGCGAAGTGTGAGATCCCCTTGTGACCATTAGACTCGGTTATCCAAACAAGAATCACATGAGTTATCAGAGTAACATATTCCGAGGCTACTTGGTAGTCTGTCTGTTAAGATTCTAGCAGCCGTCTCTGAATCACATGCAAGAGCCCTACCAGCGGATCTCCCCCGGGGCGCGCGACGTCATCGACCAGTCCAGGTCCAGATAGATGCCTGTGGGACGACTTGGATTTCTTGGCAGCAATGACGACGTCGTTGATTGTTTTTCATGTGTTTGTGGTCTTTGTCTTTGACGGGACCTCCTTGGTTACATATCTGAAACTGATGGAATTCCATCTGAAAATCCACTCCACTTTACTGAGCATTGTTGTCCTCCCACAAAGATTTCCTCACTTCTTCCTTCTTTCCTCAATTATTGATTGCGTTCATCTTGCACTACTACACTCGGATATCCAGTCCTGGTCTTTCTTTGTATCTACCTGCCGGTTAGTCAGTCAGTCAGTCAGTCAGTCATCAGTCAGACTCATAAACCAGAAAACGCAAAACAACAACGAAGACATCAACAACACCCCCACCAGATCAACAACGACAAAACTACACCGCGAACATTGATACCCAACAACAACACCCGACCAAATCGCAACCATGCCACCCCCCGAACCCCACAAGACTACACCCTCCGCGTAACAGCCGGTCCAACCTACGACCTCGCCACCCATGTCGAAATTCCCATCAACTCCCCTCACCTAACCCACATATCTTCTCCTTCTTCAACCACGGAAGCAGGGATGGACATCGACCTCACCGTGCGCATCCAAAACTTTCACCGCGGCTTACCTAGGAACTCCCCTTCTACTTCCCCCTATTTCGACAGGGAGCCGCATAGGTATAATAGGGATCAGTATAGTATCGGATTGAGGTTTAGGCCACGGCGGCCACGGACGTCGACCGACCCTGCTAAGGGGGATGGGAACGAAAAAGAAAAAGGAATCCTAGCAACAGACCTCCAATTCGGCAACGACTTTGACCACCCCATCCGTAACTACCTCCCGCCGGGCGTCAACACGGCAATGAACATCCTCAAGTGGTGGATCGACCCTGGACTCGAAGGGGATGCGTATGCGGACCAGCCGTATCTTTATGGCCCGGCGCTGTCGAGTTTTAATGCTGTCAGGGTGGGCAGGGGGGAGGAAGATGAGAGTAAGGGGGGGTTGTGGGTGGAGGAGGGGGCGTCCGATTCGGAATCTGAATTTGAGTTCGATGCTGATTCTGATGTTGACGGGGACGGGGACGAGAATGACAAGGCCTCGGAAGCTGGGGATGCAGGAGGACATGGACACGGCCACGAGAAGAAGAAGAAGGAGAAGCAGAAAAAAGGAAATGGGAGGAAATCGGGTAAACAGTGGAGAGAAGAGGTACTTGCTGGCTCAGGAGTCGGGAACGATCCCAGGAAACGCCAAAAGTGGGCGTTGAAGGAGGACGCCAAAAAGAAGTGGGTGTGGGAGTATGGACGCACGTACGCGGTGGATTTCTATAATCCGTATATTGATTTCGGCAAGTGCGAGCTGAAATTACCGGGTTTTGGGGTCAATGTGTTGAGATATTGGGATGGGGAGACTGGGTTGAGGTATGTTTTTTTTTTTCTTTTTCTTTTTTTTTTTCTTAATTTTTCCCCCTTCCTCCTCCCTTTCTCCTTCCTTCTTCCTTTTTTTTCCCTTTTCCCCTTTTCCCTTTTCCCTCTTTTCTCTTTTCTTTTTCCACTTCATTTTTCTTTTGTTTTCTTCCATTTCCATTTCCTTATTTTGATTCTCTCTCTCTCTTTTTTTTTTTTTTTTCATGCTTTTGTTCTTCTGTCAGAAAGATACTATTTGCCTCTAGGTATGCATGCTTACACTAACAATAAAAGATACGTCCTCCGTAACCGCCTCACCAAAAAACCCTACCTCGTCATCCTCTTCACCCTCTACCCGAACGACATGATCAACGAAGACGGCACGCTCAAGCCTGAGGCGTTGAAAGCAACTGCTAGGGCTAGTGGTGGTGGGAAAGACGAGCAGGTGAACTATGGAGAAAAAGGGGCCGTGGATGGAGGCGACAAGTTTGACGCGGACAAGGCAGTTGAGGAGGCCAAGAACAAGTTGGAGGGTGTTGCCTTGGGTGAGGGTGAGGGTCCAAAGAGAGGTGGAGGTGTTGGCGCGGCTGCCGGTGGGGATGATGATGTTGATTGAGTTCAGGTTGGTGGGTAGCCATGTCCGTCGGTGGGGGGAAGTAGGAGTTGGAGTCTGAGTGAGGTTTGGAGCTGGAGCCAGGGTGTCATTAGAGGTAGGTATGAATTATATTTTAGCTGTACCCGTGTTATTGTTGATACGATACACTTGATGTTGGAGTCTTGAGCTACCTCTCGCTCTACATCATCCACCAGCTTGATAGTCAACACCCGACTCTACACAATTCCCGGTAAAAGCGGCTCCTTACTTGATGAAGTCATGGAATCACTGACTTATCTTGATCCCCCCTTCTTTCTCTCTCTCTCTCTCTCGCAAGTGAAGTATGACCATCCATGCCTAATAATATATCTAGTGATGCCCTTAACTGGGACTACCTCACCGTCGTCTCGACATTGTAACCATTCGCAGCCAGGTGTGTGACCGTGACATCCCGTCTCCGACATCCGGGACTGGCCCGATGGTGCCGAAAAAAAGTGAACAACACCTCGTCAAACACATTACTAGTACATCGCACAGTACCAATCTACCCAGCATAAAACTAAACGTGCTAATAATCCGCTGATACATCCAATTCCAGTCCTCCATCCGTCCATCTTCTTGCTTTCCTTTGGTCGTTCCAACCAGTCAACCCAATAATCTAGTATCGTGCAGGTAAGTGGCACCGGGTATCCGTCCTGTAAGTACAAATGTCTTTTTCCCTTTCGCTTGCTCGTTGGTCGCTTGCTCACGCCATACTTGTGCTTTTCGCTTCTAGTTCCTTCCGTGTACTGGACACTCTTAGAGAAAAATGCGAAAGACAAAGAAAAGAAAGAGACAAAAAAAAAGGAGAAGAAGAAGAACAGAAAAGAAGAAGAAGAACGCTTTTCGCTTTTATGTCGCACATGCTACCTCTATGCTCTGCCCTCAGTTCTCTTTCGGTTGGTTTAGATACAGACCTTACCCCCTATCGTAAAGGTCGAAGTGTCCCTTATGTGTCCTCGCCAGGCCACTGTCCTCAATCCCCGCGCTGCTGCCCAGCAGCTGTTGATAGCCGGCTTTAGGTTCACCGGGGCCACCGGCCGATGAACCTAGGTACTCCCCCAACAGGCCAAATCCGGTCCACGCCCCCCAAACAAGTTAAAGGAGGTGCAGCCAGACCGTGGTGCTTGCGGTAGGGTCTGGGTTTGATGGTGGGGCAGTCACTCTGCTGACGACTGCAATGGGTCCGGGCCATGGTCCATGTCTAATACGATCAGTTCGTTATATGTAACCGTCGTAACAACAAGAACTGCCATCTCGCTATGTGGCCGGGACGGCATTCAGCCCAAAGCTCCCTGGGGCGGCATATATGGTCCTGTCCGAAGAGGACCGCCAGGGCATCTTGTCGGAAGTTGGGCACAACATTAAAGTCCGTCGACAACGTTGCACAAGTCATGAGCAACAACATCCTCATGGCGGCCCGCAAGGGCTTCAATCACCGAGATGGACGACATGTCAAATATCAACACCGCCCGGTCGCTCCTCTGGGCCTATGCACACTGGGCTGTGATGAGCCGAATTCGGCCCGTCACAGCCCGATACAGCATAGGGCAGGAATAAGATGATAGTTGCAGCGGAATCCGTCGCAGACAAGACGGATTCTTCTCCTCAACATACCCGACTGGAAAGTCGACCTCCACCTTACCGAATTCAAGAAGAAACTAGGTACCTTAGGTATCAGACCTTGAATGGGTAGGTAGGTAGCATTTGGGACAGCCCTGAATGCTTTGCTCTGGTGTGCCCTGCCCCATGCGCTAGATGATCTTGGAACTCGAGGCAGGTCATGCCTCTGGCTGCGTGGCCTTCGTGGCAGCGTAGACAAATATCGGTGAGACAATGGGGACAGGTGATGTTTTCTGTTGTTGGCTTGGGATGGTCGCTGGGCTCAGGGACGACGTAGACGTCTGGTAGTCGCAGTTGGCGGTGGGACAATTCTGTAATTTGTGTGGATGGCGGTGGACGTATGATTTGAAGGAGTCAATGAGAAGGAGATGGTCTTCGACTTTTCCACCATCCCGTGTCTTGGCCTGCTGAAAACGGAGTGCCCCATTGTGTGTCAAAATCACAGCACGAGGCTGTCTGGTTAAATTGGATAGGACGGCAACGAATGCCTTTGGCCTTAGGAGGAGAGAAGAACATCTGCCAACGATATAGCTGCGCTTCCCGTTCAGGCCACCGGACTGCAAGATGAGTGCCGCTATATCGTTGGCAGATGTTCTTCTCTCCTCCTATGGGGGAAGTCATCGAATGCGCTTCATTGGGGCGTTGGGTAATTTGAGATGCTACTGGTACGTTGTCGCCAGACTTGCTGGTACGTGTCTCCAAGGGGGTCTCGGAAAGGGGTGGCCGCTTGTTCGGGAGACGAGGTTTGGACGGAGTGATATTGGCCTGGAATTTCACCTCCAGACTGGGGCTATTGTTGCTGCATGAAGCCAGGTCATCTTCGTCCTTGATGGACACGTCGTTCCTCTAAGTTTGTGTTCTTTTTGTTTTGCTTTTCAACCATTCCGTTCGAATTGTACCTGTTATGCCTCATGTTCCGCTGTGCTTTTCGTCTCAATCATGTCGAATAAATGAAAGAAAATATAAAGATAAGATAGGTAGATTTGCCCAACGTCCAAACCTCAAGGTTCAGCGTTAGAATGTAAACAAAATCTTCTCGCTATCAGTTTTCATCCTGTCCTTGGCCTTGTCTCTCCCGCCCCTAGGTCTCTAGAAAGTGATCAAACCCCTCTTCCACGGTAAGATGTTTCTGGGAGCAGGGGATGAAGAGTGAAAAGGTACCTAGGTACCTGTCTCCAGGTAGGTTGAGGAAGTATGCGGACCACTTTTCAACACTGACTGTACTATTCTTCGGACATCAACGACGTCAAGGGCGTGGAGGAGGAGGAAGTGGACAAGCCCGGAGTAGTGCTGGCAGACGAGGAAGAACTTGAAGTGGCAGTAAAAGCCTCCGAAGAAGTTGGAGGGGGAGTAGGATATGGAATCCACTCCATGTCGACCTCTTCCTCGACAAGGATATCGGGCCCGAGTGGTGCCGCCTCGGTGGGGACAAGTACAGGCTCTAGCTCCACAAAGAGAGAGGGCTCAAAGAACATCTCCGGTCCATGGGAGTTTTCTGCGTCGTCTATGACGAACGCAATGGGGAGTGACTGGGGTGCCTCTAGTGTCCGAGCAGGAGAGAGGAAAAGGAAGCGGAGAGCAAGGAGGAAGTAGGAAACGGAGAGTCCAACGAAGAATTGAGTTAGGACAAGGAGGAGGATGATGAAGAAGCGTAGGGTAGAGAGGAGGGCGGAGAGGCAGGCCAAGGTTGCGGCGAGAAAAGAGCGAAGGAGGAGTTCTCCCACATACACGCTCACGTCAGTGGGCTCAAACTCTATGTGGAGGGCGGGAGCAGCTCCGCCTCTCTCTATCTCCTCTGTCGCCCTCTCCATCTCTTCCTCCCTTGTTTCCTCCTCCTCTCGCGCCGAGCGACGCTCAAGACTCCGCCTCACACTCTCCTCAACGTCTTCAACGGAGAGATCGCCTCTGAAATCCGCTTCGAGGTCGTCATCTGCAGTCAGGCCAAATTGGTCGTTGCTAGGACCGGCGTATAGGATGACGCGGTACTCCTCCATGTCCTCCTCGCTCTGCCCGTGAAGATGGCTGTCCATCTTGTTGTCCTTGACTTAACGGAACTGTTGGTGGGTCAAGAGGTCAGCGGATGTTTATGCGTTGATGATGTGGGGTCCTGGCGATGTCGGTGAAAGCTTTGGAGCAAAGAGGTGGAAAAGTGATTTTCAACCCTGAGAAGGGTGAAGGAGACGGCCGGAGAGTGACCTACCGAATCTGGTGGGGATCGATGAGGGTGAAAGCGACCTGCACCGACCAGCTGAGATAGGTAGATAGATGCCCGGGTAATTTAGCACCAGCTTGTGCCAGGTGCAAGAAAGTTGAACGACTGAAGACCAACCTGAGGGGAAGGTCTCTCACACTGTGTCGAAGGAAGGGGTCAAGTAAAGCGACAGTAAAAGCGACAGTACCTAGGTAATGATGTGAGAGATTTTGTCCGCTCGAGAAGTCAAAGGGTAGAAGACCAGCGTATGTTGTGGTCTCTCGTACGGTAATTGGAGAGAAGGAAGCCTGAATTGCCTTCAAAAAGCCCGGAGGGAAGGAGGGACTGACGAAGCTCCAAGGTACCTAGATTTGTATGTAGTTTGTACAGACAGGCTGGTTTGAATCGGTGTCGTTGTCTGAAGAGGAGGAAAAGAGGGGTTAAAAGACCAGCCAAAGAAGGATAGGAGGATGGGAACTTACCTACTTCTTTCTACCTTTGGTCAGGGTGGACAGAGCGAGAAATTCCGATCAGAATGTCACCGGGTTGATTTTCTGTGACGGGCAGCGTGACGAAGCAGAGTCCTTTACAGAACTAGAAAAAGGAGAAAGATACTTCGAGTTCTGTGGAGGACGGGAGATCTGCAAAATCCCAAGGTTGGTCTGGTGTAGTGTTGTCTGAAGTAAGATTCACAAGATGCTGTGTTCGATGAAGTGTGAAGACAAAAGGAGAAAACCTGAGCTGGATTAAGGGAACTCGAAGGCCTTTTATATACACCCTGGGACAGTTAGTCGTCGCTTCAGGTTGATATGGGCCAAGTTTTCTCTCTGTTCGTTTCATTTTGCTTTCGATCGCAGATTCCGTATGCTCTGCCGCTGTGGGAGATGACGCAACAGAGCAACTTTTTCCCAGAAGAAAGTGGAAACCATGCATCTTCTGGATCGTGTAGTGTACATGTGCATAGCACGTCGAATTTCCCGCATGTTATGTTTCATGACGCTCTGGGGGTTGATGTCAGGCTTGAAGTGTGTTTATGTCCTTGAACGTTTTGCTGCTGCTACATTTAGTCTGAGGGTTGACAAGAAAAACATATATAAGTCCCAGTGTTGCCCCTTTACCCGTATTCGATGACAGCTCTTCAAGACTGAGCTGCGAAATGGATGAAGAATCAAGGAACCAACATGAAGCTGTTCATCGCACATGATGTCTTTGGGCTCCTTATAACCCCCGACAAGCGGGCAGGCAAAGATAGCCTGTGACAGCAGAGTGATCAAGGAATTACACAAGCCAAATCAGGACCCTTTGTATATAATGTTGGCTCACTTGCAAAGCTGCCGTCAGATTTGACTTGATTCCGAGTTGACACGTTGTCCATCCTGAGGCGAATGACGGAATCGATAGCAATTAAGAAATGCTGGGTTTTCCTGAATGGATCAGCGAGTTCTATGCATAAAGTTCATGAGTTATTTAAGTGAAAGAATAGTCGCACCTGGAATGAAGAGGAATTTTCCTCTTTGCTTCTTTCTTTGGCTTCTCTGTTTTACATATCTCTACTTACTTGTAGAGCTCATGTTCCTCTTGATGTCAGAATCTTATAATTTTCTACCCTCCCTTCGGGAAAGTACTTCTGGATACATGAAAACGCCACCAGCAACAAGGCCAGCAAGTTAAAGATCCTGCAAGGTCCGGCATCTTGAACTTAGCAGATTAGTCATATCTACGACCTCACGGCTGCCACGCTTTGGAGAATTCGAGGAAAATCGGATCATTAGACCCGAGACAGCCGATCCGAAACTCACGACGATGAGGTGTATCAGATCCAGAAACCAAGGGAAAACTTGAAAGATCTTGGGGAGACGATGTAGGCTAGTCCGCAGGCTGGCGACTGGACAGTATTACATGTGCAAACCAAGGTAAGTGGGAAGGTGGTGTCATCCACAGCCCCAACGTGAGAAAACCATGTTGACGCGCACTCCAGGCAAGAACTTGCCAGAAGAGAACGTGGCCAAAACTCACATCAGGGAGTAGGCGCATGCCGAGGCAGACGGACGTGACACTGTGTCCTCCGTCGACGCTACTGAGGCGAGGTGGATGGCCATCTTGCTTACCAGACAGCTGCGGGCAACGACGGCATACGAGGAAGGGCCGCTTGGTTTACCTTGCACCAACCACATCCGCATCTGACAAGACAAGATCAGTCTGCATTATCGCGCCATCTGGTTCCAGCAGCACTGCTCCTGAGCTCCCGTCTAAAGCAGCATGTTGGTGGCGCCCGGGCCGTTGGCAGGTGGGTGTATGCTGGGCTGTTGCGAGGGTATCAAGAAAGGGGGTCTGTGCCGCCCCTCCTACCGGAGCTGACGAGGGCAGCAGCCTCAGGTACCGCAGCCCTGCGAGAAGCAGTTCCAAGACAAGATGACGCTTCAACCAAGGGCCTCACTTCTACGTCCCTGATCAGGAAACGAAGAGCCCGGTGGTCCACAAAAGCTCCGCCTTGTGGGCAGCTTCATGCGTCAAGTTGGGACGGGAGAGACTCCCAGCAAAAAGGGAAGAGGCCTGGAGTTTCCTCTATAGTGTTCATCATGAGCGCCGTAGAAGGAAACCTAACAGCACTACTCCCAGGTCATCAAGTATTGAAGCGACCGCGACGCCTACCAAGGAGAGGGCTAGGAGATGTTACGAGCTGACGACGCCAGTTCTTCCCCAATTTCCCCAAATTCCATGAAAAATATGCCTCTCAGCGTGTAAGCGTACGGTAAATACGCAAATTTCGACCCTACGTCGGTCCGTTTCCTGTAACATCCCCGACCCTTTCATGTCCCAACGAATTGGCGAACAACGCTTTCCTGCTGAACCGAAGCCTACCGCCCCCGTCATTCAAGCGCACAGACACTGATCTGTTCGTACTGCTTTCCTTCTCTTTCAGCTAAGTAAACTTGGCAGGAAGTTGGCAGGTTCGGCCAGCAAGAAGCCAGGCAAAAAATTCTCCTCGGAAAGAGCTACCCTTCAGCTCTGCACACGGAAGGCCATGACGGCTTCAACGACGGAGGGAGACCTGGAATTCACCAAGCCCTGATACGAACCACTACTCTCGTCGAGTCAATGGGTGGTACCCAGAGCAAAGGAGCTATCGAGACGGCCGGAGAATATTGGGGGAAAGCAAATTCCGAAGCGGCTTTTACAGCTGTCGCTGTGAGTGCTGTAGAAGGCCTTTGTTGGTCTGCTAGCCGTCCCAAAGGGGAGGCGGAAAGAGGCGAGAAAGCACCATCTTTTCTGTCGGCTTCCATCAATTCATTCAGCAGCGCACCTCCTCCCTTTCGCCAAGAAACATTGAGCTAACACTCTCAAGTGAACACAGGCAGAAGACGAAACAAAGAAAATGACGATCGTTCAGCTAGTGGCACCTTCGCTCCGACAAGTTCGCTCATCATTCTTTCCCTCTGCCGGACAGCCCGGGAAGGAAGTGGTCAACGGACACGACGATTCTTGCTGGGAAGTAGCGATCCTTCAGGTACTACGCGCTTACAAAGATGCGGGCAGTCCGTCGACGAGAGCTACTTTGGCATCTCAGCGTTCGGACGTTCCTTCTTTCTTTCCTTTGGTTAGTGAGGCCAGTGTTCCCAATTCCCGTCCAGGTGCGCCCGACAAGATAGGCTTGAGCGCTGAGATAACTGCCGGTCACTTCCACCTTGGCCTTTGAGTAGCTGGCTACCTAAGATGGGGCCATCGCTACGGGAGGGGGACGGACTCTTCATTTTACACTGGAAGGGTTCTCGAGACAGCGGGAATTCGGAACGTTCGGAGCACGATGCCCTCATCATCAGATCATCAAAGGCATGTGGCGTGGCCGGGGATGAAGCCGTCTTTGATCTAGATTGGAAACAGCCAGGGTCGTGGCCGAGCCGTCAGGGCTGATGATACGGTACCTTCTCTGGCCCGAGAGTTGATTTCCAACTGAAGACATACTAACTGAAGGCCGCCAGGGGGGGAGCACTGGCGCACTGGGGCACTGGGGCACTGGGGCACGGGGGGGTCTGCACCCCCGTTCCACTTGCATCCATCGCGTCCCGTTCAGCCAATAGGATTATTGGTCTTACACGGAACGTAAGGTAAGGTCCGGTGAAGTATTCACGGCATACTTTCTGCACCGGACGTATTTGTATATGTGTATCTGCTGTACAAAAATGTGAGTATAGGGAAGTACCGGTACTTGTGAGCGGTGGTGCGGTCCTAGACTGTAGGTACGCACCTCACGGTAAGGCTAGGTACCTCTCGTCGAAACTTGGGTACCTCTACCCGTTGGGAAGGGGCTCCTGTTTCCTGTCGTATCCCCAGCTCCCGCTTTCTCCCCAACGGGTAGGCCCGCTACGCTGCGGCGGGCAACAGGAGGGAGTTGCGATGGACCCACTTACAACTACATATCACCGCGAGGCAAGTACCATCGATCGATGACAACCCACACCCGCTCTTTCAGAAAGAAAACAAAACGGCCAAAAGGACCCAGGATTATTTGGGCCGTTGTTGGATAGACCAAACCGACGAAAAAATAACTGCTCAAACAAAAAATAAGGTAGTTCAGTGGTGAGTGTCCCGCAGTGATGTACTTCCCCACTTGGAAACCGGGCGACGGGACCAGAGAGAGCGCCAACTCTGACACTTGATATGGGCGCGGGAAAGGTGTCTTTGGTGCCGACGGTGGTCGAAATGAAAGGAATTGTTCGTCCCTCGTAGTAGCAAGAACAACTCGCACGCATTTTTCGTAAACAGGGCAGGTACCTCCACATGCATCAAGTCATCGATCTGATGCCCTGGTATTCCCTCATCATTCACTTGAAAAGAGGGCAGGGCTTCATGGCCCACAAGGTCAGACGAGATGATTAATAAATGGTCTTTCATAGCCCAAGGGAAAAATATCCGAGTGCTTACCTACCTAGTCACCTTCCGGGTGTCTGTTTGTGCGACACCTCTTGACGCCGCGTCGCTCAAATTTCCTTGCCATGTTTCTTCAGCGTTCAGACGCGGCATGTTGCAGCGACGGACCGCAGCAGGGCAGGGCACCCACTACAAATAGGTAGGCAGACAGAAGCGGCCGTGCTGACATGTGCAAAGATGATCTCAAGATGCATCCATCTGATGTACTCGTGCATAAATGCATGAAAAAAAAAAAAAAAAAAAAATTTACACTCGCCGTCACTTGTTCCGTACCACAAGTCCCCCTCCCCCCCCCCCCCCCCCCCTTCCCACCCTTCCCCAAAACAGACGAACCAAGATCTGGTAAATCACATTGGCGCGAAGGACAGATACGTTTCTGAGCGCTCTTGAAAGTATAACCGCATGTTTGGCAAAGGAACGCCGGTGTGACTGTCCCTCCGCAACGGCGGCCGCCCGTACGGCGTGTATGTGCGATTTCTGTTGGTGGGAGAGTTCTGCCAGGCTTCTTTGGTGTTTTCCAGCTGGATCTGGCATCTCTGGACACATTTCACACAAGAATATTTGTGGGTGAATCGGAGGAATAGCTGGCCGGTCCGCGGTCGGTCGGCATTGCGGGTGCTTTTTTAGGTGTTTTGTGGCCAAAACGGGTAGGTCACACCTCCAAGTGGGTACTGTAGCCGGGCATTGATGAAGCCCGGTGAGCAATTCTTGCCCAGGCGCCTCAATTGCGTTCAGTTGTCACCGGAAGTGCAATGGGACTTGACCTGTCCGTACCGTACACCTTAGTGTGGTCCGCTTTCTTACACGTGCTCTCGCTGTCTTCCACCACCTCGGCCTCCCACAGCACTTCTCCTCTCCCTTATCGTCCCTTCCAAGTTTTCTAGGTAGTTAGGTACCTCTAGTGAGGGCCAGACCTTCTAGTGTACAGGATGACTGCAACTGGGAAGAAAAGAATTTGCTATTAATGGGATTTGATGGGAACACACACTGTCAGGAAGAGAACCCCCATGATCAGTGAGAAATACGCTATCGGCTTACGCAGATAATGTTTTGTAAAATCATGGACTGAGAAAAGTGGTGAGATATCATGAAAGATCGCAAAGTTTGTAGCGCACGTACGCGTAGGAAATCTCATGATACATGTACCTTCGGAGTTCCCCCACAGAAAAAGCGTGTAGGGTAAGAAATATACAAGTACCTGTACTCTCATGCGGCTTGTTCTTGTTTAATGACATGAATGGTAATCGGAAGTACACATAGATTGAACTATTTTCCTGTACTAGAAACCGGAAAGAAACAAACCGGGGTATAGGTAGGCCTACATCATATCTGCCAGGATCTTCTTCCGGGGGTGCAGAGCCGCTCCCTTACGGGTCGCTTATCAATCTCTCCTCAATGCCCCCAATCAGGGCAAACTGCATTTTATTCTACGAGGACCTGGACTTGTCATGTTTCTACGAGTGCGCCAATGGCCAGGGCATTGTCACGAGAATCGGCGGTAGTCCATTTACGTATTGTGAACAGTGATGAATTGGGAACCGACGGGAGCCCACACTCGACTGTAGAGCACTGCCCGCTGTCCTAAGCTACAGGTATCCGATCCTGCTGTAAACACCCCAAGCAAACCCAAATAATGACCACCGGAACACCCCGTTTCACAAGAGAGCCTGCGTGAGTGCTAGCATTCCACCCGCCCGGTTCTTTGTGCACCGCTAAGATGTATCCTCTGAGTTGGTGTAGACGGTGAGGCCTTAGCGGCGGTAGAGGCGGCAGATGCATTGCCTATAGTGGCAAAACAAAGCTTCCCTCTCAATTTGCCTCTGGTTCAGGCGGTACGCCCTAACCTTTTCTTCAAGGTTCTCATCCCTCTCGACTGCCCTCCTCTCCGAAACTTCCACATTGCCCTCGGGTTCGGGGGTGTCGTCGTCGTCGTTGTCGTCGTCGCTGTCGTGGGTCGTCGTTGTGCTGCTCTCCAGCAGCCTCCGAGGGGTGTGGCGACGGCGGCGGACCCATCATAGCGGCCTCCAATGATGTGCTCATTGGGACCTCGGGTTCTTGCGGGGCCGTCTGCCGGGAAGGAGAGGATGGGGTGGTGGGCGGAGAAGGTGTCTGCTGAAACACCTCCTGGATGGACCCCGGTGAAGGGCTGGGACTCAGGGCCCGGCGGTCCCTGTCCGCTGCATCCGCTGCCACTCTGCTCGAAGTCGGAGTGGGGACCCCGGAGCGGTACAGGTTGTCGGGAGGGGTATGAGGACCGTCACGATCCATGTTGTCGAGCTATAATGGAATGTCAAGGTCAATGTTATTCTCGAGAAAGAAGCGCGAGGGAGGTATCAATAGGATGAAAGACACATACATGGCAAAGGCTTCAATGCTTCTTTGCGGATACCTTGCAGGAAGGGGGAAACTGAATGATTCAGTTAATCTGGGCTTGGGAGGTTCCATTCGTGTTAGCATAGCATGACATAGATGTCAATGAAAGCAATGTCCACGAGAAATGCTTACATATACTCAGAGTGAGTACGGTGAGATCAACAAGGTAAGTGCGTGGTAGGTAAGGTGCACGTAGGGATGGATATCGAACCAAAATACGTCAGGGGCCGAGGTTGGAAGCTTGGAACGAAGAGCACGCACGCAGTCATGCCTCTGATGAGAGAACCAAAGTCAAGTGAGCTTGGGTAGAAGGGATACCTCTACCACCTTTGATTTGGCACACAAAGACAGTGACTAACGGCGCTCAGTAGTCGGATGTTTGAGCTTGAGTTTCTGAGAATGGTTGTGATGGTCCAGAGCCCCAATTTATAGGTTTTTCTCAAAGCCGTTGGAAGAAAACTAACAGACCCAAAAACCTTGTTTCTGCAGCAATTCTGACCAAGCTGGGTTTCCTGTACCAATCCATTCGAAGTGAACATGAAAAAAGACATGCTAAGGTACCAATCGCATATGTGCAATGCGCAGAAAACTAGACATCTTGATCCAGTTGTGAGCTTGAACAGCTTTGACTTGGCGGCCTTCTTTCTGTCTGTACCTAGTGCAGTACGGGAAGCTCTTCTGCCCCTAGCCCAAAGGCTTTCTGCCACCAAGGAAAGGCACACGGTACTGTAATGCTGTCGAAAGAATGCATCCCTTTAAACATGAATCGGGCTCGTAGATACCGATATAGTCTTTTCTTGTGTCCTGATTCTGTCCGTAGGCACATAGGCGCAGGCAGGCCAAGGGAAGTTTGGATAGATCCCCGGGGAAGCTCTCGGAATACACCTAAAATTCCAGCTCAGTTTGCCTGAACCACCATGTCGAGATATGGCCCTAGGTAGGTACCCAGCAGTGTCCGAGTCGTCTTCTGCTTTGCGTTCTTCCCCTTGTGTCTCTCTGTTTCCTTCCAGGAGGCAGTACTTCAGCATTGCCAGCAAAATGCGTGAAGTCTACCATCGACCAAAACCGGCAAGAGATTTGAGCACCATGAATGAAACGTGAGCTTGCTCCAATTAGAGTTGTTTTCCTCATCCGCTCAAAGGAAAGGACTTCATACTTCTTAGACCGCAGGTGATATGCTACAGACCATCGTATTCTTGATAAGCAACGCGTCTCCTGCCCGGAGCCTGCGGATCTGCGGTTCCGGGCTTCAGATGGTAGCTGGCGCAACTTGTTTTGGTGGTGAAAAGAGGCTGGTACATTGATACCCTCAAACCCGACAGATGGTGCGCTACACCAGCGACACGCTGCGCGCAGCAAGCAGGGAGATGGCGCATTAGTAATTTTATCGAACGATGTTTGAGTCAAGGTGATTTCACGTGCTGGTTTGCTGACGAATCTTTATTGGTGATGGAAAGCAACTTGGCACTGAAGCTGGAGCCGGGAAGCCATGAAGTCCATTCGGGGAGTCGATAGACAAACACCCCCCAAGAAAAAAAAAATGAAAAGAAAAAAAAAACCGAAGACGGAATACCTACAAGAATGGAAGCTCATCGCAAGAGGTCCCTGCTGGAATCTGTAGAGGGGCGCACAATTGTTGTAGTTGTTGTTATTGCGTTGTAAGGTTGGTCTCCGGGATTTGCCCGCTAAGCTATGGTGCAACTACTGAAGACCGGACTCTACCGCTGCCAGGACCGCTAGAGCTCAATGGCCCCACAAGACGCTGGCATGGAACAATGAGTAGCTGGAAGGTTTTAGGAGGTAATGTTTGTCTTGTTCTGAACTGGTACCGTATGGGATTCGGTGTCGTGCAGAAGACGCAGGGTTCAACACTGCCAAATTGTTTTTTGGCGCCCGTCAAAGGGCATATACGTGTACGTGGTTGTCGGACACACACCATCAACCCTACATGTCGGAAGTCCCATTTCGCAAGACGATTCGCTTTGGTTCTGTTTAAATATGGCGAGTCGGACTCTCGGAGGCCCAAGGAGTCAAGACAGGAATGTCGCGTTTATTACCCTGGATATGACTTTAAGTTCGAGGTATCAGAATATTTGGTTCTCGTACGGGAGTCAGTCTGTGATGTTCGATTTACAGCCCGAAAGCTTCACATAACACAGTCCTGTCTGGCATCGGTTAGTACATGATCGCAGTGGTAATCGGGGAAGGGAAGAGGGGGGTAGCCTCAAACATACATGTTCTTCCACGAGAGCTCCCTTGCAGGGAGGTGTTGAGAGGAAAAGGGAGAATAGTCAGTGGACATGGAGGCATGAATCAAGCAGTGCAGGAAAGCTCAGACCAAGAATTTGAGACCTACGTACCCTAACAATGAGGCTGGGGCACTTGACCTGCCTGCTGCCTGCCCGCAGATGAACATTTCAAGGTCTGTCTCGAGATCTACCTTAGGTACCTTAAAATGTACGTAATTAGGCGGCACTGATGTGAATTCGGCAGGAGCTCATGAGGCGCCAAAGATGAGTCATGAAGATGTGTGAATGTTACTTTACAGAAAATGGAAGAATGAGATGGTCGCTTCCTTCCTTCCATGCTTGGCGGTGGCTCTCCTTCCTTCTTTCCGTCCCTACCTACGTTCACACCAATCGAATCATGAGCTGCAACCACATGCACTCTGATCACATATACGGAGGATGCCGTGACTGGCCATTGCCCGTGAAAATTACCTCTAGGTACTTTCTTTCGAAAGGTATGACACATACTTGAGTCAGCCGCGGCCAAGACGCCTGCAAAGTAGAGGTACTCTTTTACAGCTGGTACATCAATGCCATTACCAAGACTGGGCCTGGAAGACATCCTCAAACTCAAGCAGAAAAATCAGGATGGATCATCATCAGGCTACCTACCCAGTGTCGCTAGTGCCAACACTCATGCCAAGGCGTCTGTCAAATGCCCTGAGATTGATCCGGTTTACCATCAATGTCCTGATTCTGGGCATTGATGGAAGACAAGTTCAGCTGACTACACCTGCGTCTCTCAGCTATTTACAATGGGAAACTACTACACAGAGGGCAGGATACCCTATTATTCCACGAGCGGCTGTGCACACAGACTGATCCCTCTCCCTGTCTCTCTCTCTCTCCCCCTCTCCCTCTTTCCTTTTTTTTTTATTTATTTATTTTTATTCTTATTTTTCTTTTGGCACGAACCACACACAGCGGCAGAACAACCGAAAGACAGTATCTAATTGACAATTCGATAGTCAAAAACAGGTCGCCTCACCCAGGCTTGGCCGCGGACAGCGAAACCATCATGACAGTCACCCTGATGTCGACCCATTACTCTTCTTCGCAATTCGCAACATAGGTAAAGTAATCAACATCACCATTCCGATATGGTCAAAGCTCCCTGCATACAACCCGTTGGTGGATGGAGGGTCTCGCTCTCTCTGTCTCTTCCCGAAATGTTCCCCTCACAGATGCCACGTCCATCCGGATCCGACGTAGCGGAGGCAAATTGGGGAAAAGCACCTGTCAAAGTTGCTCCCGTGTGTGATGATGGGATGAACGCTGCATTCAATCACCGCGTTGTCAGCAGCACGTGGATTCAGGCTCAATTGGGTATCGAACGACGGCTCAATTGACCCATGGATGGAATGGAACTCAAGCAATTACACCACTCTATCGTCGCCTAATACAGCTTTCAAAGCGACAACTCCCACGTCTCGATCGCACTTCAATCCCTTCCTGGAGATCCAGCGCGCAAACACCAAACAGAGCAACACCCAACTCCAACACCCAGTAGCCCAACATCATGGAGCAGGAACTCGCAGAACTCAAAAAGCAGGTACTCACCTTGCACAAAGAACTGTCTCGCGTCTCCGGTAAGCACCCAACCACCATTTACGACCCGCATCGCATTTCCACTTCCTAACAAACAATCATCCAGACGAAGCTGAAATCCGCAAAACCCACCACAAATACGGCTACTACCTCGACAAATGTCTCTACAACGAAGTAGTCGACCTCTTCTCCAACCGCCCCGACACCTTCGTCGAGTTCCTCGGCTCGCGCTACCTCGGCAAAGCCGGCGTCGAGCGCCTCTACAAGAAACGCTTCGCCGAGACCTTTGTCGCCGGCCGCAACGGTCCCATCCACGGCTTTCTGCTCGACCACATGATGATGCAAGACATCGTCGACGTCTCCCCCTCAGGCGACCACGCCTGGTGTCGCATGCGTGCCCTGATGCAGGCCGGCACTCATCACTCTATCGAGAAAAACTTGCCGCTGGGCCACAGACAGTGGTGGGAAGGTGGTCTGTACGAGAATGAGTATGTGAAGGAAGACGGGGTGTGGAAGCTGTGGAGGTATAGGTACTTTCCGTTTTGGCATGCGGATTTTGAGGCTGGATGGAGTAAGACCAAGCCGAATTATGTGCCGTGGCCGACGAGGACGTTTCCAGAGGATCCCACGGGCCCGGATGAGATTCTCGAGAGAAAGATGTTGTGGCCAGATACGAGGGTGGTGCCGTTTCATTATCCGCATCCCGTCACGGGGAAGAGGGTCAATAGTGATGATTTGAGAGCGCCCAGGTACGGAAAGGGGGTGCAGGAGGGATGTGAAGAGCCATTGGTATTGGAGTTGCCAGGTGGGAGCAAGTGGGAGGGGGCAGAGGAGCGGGAGAGTCGGAAGGGGGAGAAGGTGTTGCCTGAGTTGGTGCAGGACAGGCTGTTAAATTGAGTGGCGCGGTACAGGGCTGGGTTCCGTCGGTCTACAGTCAGTTTCGTTCCGTCATTCGGGTCTGAAGCTTTGATCACTTACAGTCTCGTACGGCGCAAGTCCACTCACGGGAGGAGTTGAGTGAAGGAAATACTGACTCAAACTTCTCATGGGATTTGGTCCAGCCCCCTGCAAGCATGCAACTGTCGGCGTGTATCAGTGCAGTGCACTTTTTATCATGACTGTTTTGGTGGGGAACCTCCGGCCTACATGGACCTTTTATGCCCTAGGTACTCCTGCACGATGCAATACCTGCTACATGTCTGGCATTGACACATGTCAGCGCCGTTGCTGTACTTGGGGCCTTGTCAAACTTGCTGATGATGGCCCATACGCAATGTAAATTTCAGACAGTGACTTTGAAAACCGTAACAAAGTTTCCCGATCACTTGGAGACGGAATCACCAGCGCAGTCAAGGCCTGGGTTTGGTTTGACCTGTCGTCGTTCCTGTGAAGATTCGTCGCGCGTTTAAAGCCTTGTAACAAATTGCGAAAAGTCATACCACAAGAGAAGATGCGAGCTGTGAGATTTTCCTGGAAGTTTCACAACCTCGTTGGGTGGTGGGTATGGCCGTTCCAGTCGAGATCCGCCATTGATCCCTCCCTTCCATTTCGGCACTGTGTCAGGACACTTGCACATCAATCCAGCCATGACGGTTGAGAAAACTCCAGAGCATCTTCAATGAATTTTCGGACATCTATTGTCCCCCAAAATCAATGTTCCGGATGTTTCCAATCCACGCAGGTTGAATCACTGTCGAGTGTCCGACCACCCTTCTGGCTCCTGTTTCCCTCTCCGAGCCCCCCGCCCCGCACTTGCCCGCACCCGAACATCCATCTGCCTTATTACCCGGCAGCCACCACACCATCAACCACGGTTCAGTGAACCATGGAAATACAAACTTGGGACGGGATTTACTTCATTGATTGCAAATGTAGCACGAATACAAGTTTCAATACCCGATTTGTAGTTCCCTTGGTGGCAAGTTCTTGCCGAGCGCAGAAGGGTCTGTCTGGTGCCCAGTTCGACCCTTGGATTCATTCAAATTATTTTGTTTGGATAGAATAGAAAAGAAAGGGGGCTAGTTTGTGGTTACACCCCGGAATTAAGTTGGGCGGAAAACAAAAAAGAAAAAAAAAAAACATCCCAAGGCACCCGTGAACTTAGTTGACGACTATCCATTACAGCACCACCAGCTGTCTGTTGAACGTCTTCTTCATCTTAACATCTTCCCCAACACACGTACGTCAAAAAGCAAATCCCGGTGTAAGTAAGCATCAAGAAAAGAAACCACCATGAAAGTGAAGCAACCGAAAAACCAAGTGAAAAGTACTAATCGTAATTATCTTCGACCCCCCCCCCCCCCCCCCCCCCCCCTACCTACGTCGTCATACGGCAATTTCAATCTCAATCCAATCAATCACTAACGCCCGCCGCAGATTTCCTGATTCCACCCTCACCCATATAAATAATAAACACCGTGCGTGGTTTCCTAGAGGTACGTACCTACCTACCTACCTACCTAACCTCCCCATTTCCAGGGGCATCGATGCACACTATTATTCTCATGGGAGTGAAAATAAATGCTTGCAAGTTGCAACAATACCATCTTCGATCCTCCTAACGGAAATGACATTCGACTTTTCAATCATCACTTTGTTTAACGGTCTCGAAACTACTACTACTACTACTACTACTACTAAGAGAGAGAAAGGAAAAGCCTTCAAGGTAAGGGATAAGAAAAAGAAAGTAGACAAGCCTGAGTGCAAAAAGCGTTCACACCCCTGCCCTCCCTCCCCCCTGCAAAAAAATGTGATAGGAAAAGAAAAAAAAAAAAAAAAAAAAAAAAGAGGGAAAGGAGAAAAAAAAAAAAATAAGGAAAAAAATCGGGGCCACCCGGGGATTGAACCCGGGACCTCTCGCAAGAATGCTCAGGTTTGAACCCTAAGCGAGAATCATACCACTAGACCAGCGGCCCTATTGTTATTGGATGGTTAAAATGCACGGACTTGGGGCCTACATATCCCTAAACTTTGTTGCAGGCATCTTGGTACATAAGTTGGAAATTGCAGACTATCGTCACCACGTATCACCAACCATCATCCACCATCCATACCAACCAGCTGCCGAGAAGAATACTATCATTACGTTTATACTCTCATTAGGTATGTACATGAAGGCATTCAATCATAGGTACCCAACACTCATATGTACAACAACAACAACATCCACCCCCTTTTTTACTGTGGCCTAGTGATCCCCTTTTTCTTGTAAAAGTCCGCCACCCATTGTCCCATCTGAGCGACCTCCTCTTCGACAACCTTCTTGATGCCCTCATTGGCGCTCCAGTTGGGACCGTAAAAGTCGGAGCAGTGAGTACCGCCCTCGATGACGCGAACCTGGTGGTTCTTGTTGCCCTTGAAGGGACCACCGGGTCGGAACTTGGACGACAGGGTAACGTCTCTCCAGGGATCAAGGGAACCATTGGCCTGCATGATGCGCGTGCCGTTGGTGTGCTTCCAACCGCCGGTCCACTTGTTGACGTCCTCGGCGCGCTTGCCCTGCTTGATGCCATAGGTGGCGTTGGAGCCCTTCTCGGCGGGGAACCACAACGGACACTGCTTGCGCCAGTAGTCGGCGTCGACGAGGCGAGAGACGATGGAGGGGCGGCCAAGAGGGGCGCCATCTTGCCACCATTCGAAGCTGTTGCGTACATGTCAGTATAAAGGAACGGGAAACCAGAGGGGGAAAAGAACACGTACGGCTCATTGCAGAGGAACCAATTCCACTGGCGGTTGTAGGCGTTGTTGACCGACAAGTCGTGGAAAATGGGGTTGGAAGCGTTCTGGTTCTGGAAGCAGAGAACGTTATCCTCGCCCTTGAAAGCGTCGTAGCCAGAAGACTCGCAGGTGCCAGGAAGAGATTCCTCGACGAACCACTTGGCGTATCCGTCGAGGGCCTTGTTGATGCCAACACCGAGTGGCCCAGGGACCTTGTTGGTCGAGTTGGGCCAGACGTTCTCCACGTAGTCGCAGAAGCGGTAGTAAGGGGTGTAACCGGTGGTCTTTTCCGAGTAGAACTGGGTGGATTGCCAGCTCCAGGGGCCGCTCTCAATGGCACTGCAGACAATAGGTCAGCATTGATTTGCTTGACAGACAGTTCAAGACAACTTACGAAGCAAAATCGGCATCAGTCAAGTCCTGCAGCTTGAACTTGGACTTGAGCTCACGCTTGGCCTTGGGAGTACCATGCAGCAACACGGAATCGACAAAGTCAATAACAGCGGTCAAATCCTTGGTGCAGTTCTGCGGCGTCGCTTCCAGGACAGGGATGAAATAGGTCCAAAAGTGTCCTACGGTTTCGACCACACCAGAAGTGCCGTGATACGCCCAGAAGGTGCCCGGGTACAGCGCCTCCAGCCAACCGGCCAGGGCGCCCGAGTAAGAACCACCGGAGAAGATCCAAGGGGCGTTGGCAGGCTTGCTGCCGTTGGTCTTGTCGAAGGGCAGCTCAATGTGCTCGGCAAAGTAGTTGATGTCCTTCAGCGAGTTCTCCAGCGTCAAATACTGCAGATTCTTGACCGTCAACTCGTCGAAGGGGCTGGAATTGCCCCAGTATCTGTGCTCCATGATCACCACGGCGGCGCCCATGTCCTTGGCCATCCAACCGGCCAGACGCTGGTCGGAGAGGTACGACTTATTGAAACCATCGGCGGCCTGCTCGCCGGGGTTGACAAGGATGATGGGCGAGCCGGGGCCCTTCCAGTATTGGAAGCCATACCAGAAACGCTGCTTGAAGGTGCCGAGCTCGGGGGTGTTGTGGTCGATCAGCTGGTCGAAGGTGCCGTAGCCAGAAGTGCCTTCGACTTGGGCGCGCTTGTTGAGGGACTCGATGTGGTCGTCGATGGGACCAATTTCCATGCCGATGGTCTTGAAGAAGGCGGCATGGGCGGTGGAGGCGGCCGCTAGAAGCGCGGTGGCGGCGGAGAAGAACCTCATGTTGCCGGTGATCTTGCCTCACTCGCGGGGAGCAAGAGGTGAGGGCAAGAAGGGGAGGGTGAAGAGAGGGTGAGAGGAGAGGAAGGGAGGGCGGCCATGACTTGTGACGGGACCAACGGACGCTCTTATGTCGCCAACAGACGTGGTTCGTTCAAGAGATCCACTTGGCCCAAGTATAATTCTCCGAACATGGAAGGAGCTGTTTGGACGGGAACACGAACTGACTTTTTACTTGTCGTTCTTGGTTGTCATGCCATTGGCCGCTGCGAATGTAACCGATGACTGGAGCCAATGAAGCCAGTCTTCCACGGTTGAGTTGTGAGCAATCGATGGAAATTGGCGAGGTGGTGGCACGCGAGAAGGCGAAGGAACTGAAGGGCTGCAGAACCGGGCATCCTCCACCTTCCGCATCTTGATGGTTGACCGTCCGGGCTTGAGCCGGGATATGTCATGGTAACCAGCCCAGGGCAGTGCAGGGGCAAAGCGACCTGCCAAGTTCAATTAAGCATCGGGCCGGGGTCCCCCGCGATGATGGAGACCCCAATTCCAACACAGATATCTCGCGGTGTCTTTCAAGCATTGTGACCCGATAATTGAGGGAAAAAAGGAGAAAAATAGATAAGCCACTACAACATAACCGCATGACTCTGTCTCGACCCGACACTCATCGTCTCTCTTCTCTTGCGGCGGCATAGCAGCGGCCCCCCAAGTGGAAAAGTTCTTCCTTCCGTACTGCCCGGCGATCGCTTGTCGGTGCACTCAGTGCGCTCACAGCACAGCAGGGCCGTAACGATCGCCAAGCGATTGGTCACCCCGCCCCGGCACTATCTTTCCCCAGAAAGGTACCTTCTGGATTGGGAATAGACCAACTCGGTCGTCATCGACCTCTGCTTGGACAGTTTATTAAGGACAGCCGATGATTTGCAATTGCGAAAGCAGCCTCGGCAGATGGAGACCTCGATTGCCTAAAAAGATGACCTCGCTTTTGTCGATTGACCGCGTGGGAAGCCATATTGACCGCCGCAACAAAACTTGTCGGTCAAAGTTGATTCAGACCTAGTGTGTTCTTTTTTGCGGAGCGGGCGTCCGATAATGGCCATGTTGACGAGGGTCTTTTGTTCAAACGCAATGGATGTCAGAGTAGGAAAACGACACGGAACAGACGTTGTATAGTGACAACCACAGGCAGCTTATTCAGGTTGGGATGAGATCAAATGATATGCAACGGACAATAACAAGACGATATCGGGGCATCATTGATATCGGCCGCTCGGATGACGGCAGATCACGAGTGGAGTTTCCACGGCACGCCATGGCCCGGACGGGAAGTCGTGATTGATTTTGACGAGAGCCATACTGAACCCTAACCCCGTCAAAGTGGACAACGGACGGATTGCGATGAGGAGAGACGAAGAGAAAGGAAGGGTCGGGAGACACTCTGTTTTTGTTTTCCGGTGGACTCTCGCAGAGCCGGCATAAATCCACTCTCAGGTGTATTCCCAGACAGCCGTTGGAGTGTTCTTTGTCTCTACTGTTCTCGCAACAACCTCTGACCCGAGACATGTGATCATCTGATCGAAGGTCTCGGCCCTCCTCAAATTCGACGACAAGGTCACAATGTCCCTGCATCACAAGCGCTACGAATTAATGGCAATATGGTCTTATTCCAAGCGCTAGGGCTACCTAGACTGTTCTACATGCCTTCGTGTCTCATTTACCATTCATCCTGTCCACTACAATCTGTCCGTCTGTCCCTCAACCCAATTCCAAGCAGTGTATTCCAATCACATGGTTACTTAATCATCCAGTCTGATGTATCTTCAGTACCCAGTTCCATCAAAACATCTACCCCCCACATGAACAAAAGAAAGAAGAGAGATGCTGTGCTGTGAATTGTTTGACAAACGAAAGTTTAGACCAACACGGTCAGTGGTAGCGAACGGTAGGTAGGTAACGAGCGGGTTGTATGTCGAATTAGGTTGGTTTCTTGTCCAAGGAAAAGACGAAACGATTGGTCGATCCAAAAAAAAAAAAAAAAAAAAAAAGAGAGCATCGATGGTGTCAGGGAATGACCCCCCCTTAATGTTCAATATAAATATCCACCGTCCTCCTCCTCCACCCCCTATCCTTATCCCGAGAGGTATCCTCGCTACCCCTCCGACGGCTGCTCCGGCTCCGACAAGGCAGCGGTTCCGGCAACGCAGGAGGAGCAGGCGTAGGACATCTCACCGGCGCGGGAGCAGGAGCAGCCGCCGGGCGATGATATCTCCAGGGGAGGTAGAAGTAGTACGAAGTAGACCCGTGACGGCTTCGGCTCCGCGTGCGCCGGACGGTAGTTTCGTACTCGTACTCGCGCTCACGATCATGCTCACGGCGGTGACGCGAGTGTGAGCGCCGAGTTCCGTGGGTGCTGGTGCTGGTGCTGGTGACGGTGCGCCGATGACAGGTGTAGGAGTGGTAGTACCATGAGTAGACGGGGATGTGCCGGCAGCAGAGGGTGCAATAGTCTGTGGTGTACCAGGCCATTGCTTTGCTTTGTTTGGGGAAAGGTTATTGTTGTCGTGGAGTGGTTGAGTTTGTCTTGGTTCGTGCCAGTGAACGTTTGGGTATTGTCTTGGTCGGTTGAGCTTTGCTGGTTCTCGTTGAACGTTTGACTTGTGAAAGCTGATCGAAGGAAAAACAAAAAGACACAACAGATGAAAACACAACATCACCTTATATAACCACCTCCCTCGCGCAACAAGTCTTTTGACCATTTGCGTCCATCCGGTCATGACCTCCTCAGACTTGACCTCAGAGTCATCCAAAGTGTCATGAGGCCGCTGCCAACGGTCAAACGCCAACACCCGAACACCTTAGCTTTTCCTACCCTGTAGGCCTGCCTGTCTGTACGAGGAAAACATTACTCAGGCATCTGGCCTTGACAACTACGCCCTTCTGGGTCCTAGTGTAAGTCCTGGCTGACACACTTTCACCGAAAGCCATCCATCCTTCACCGTCTACCATAGTCACACCAGTCCGGTTTGCTGCGTCCTCATGCCAATATGTAATACCAGATAGGCGGTCGGCCAGCCGGCCGGGAGATGGAGTTCAGCCTAGGTGCCCGGCCTGGATGAAGTTGCCTGTGTGTGCGCGCGGAACAAGGGACAAGGGACAAACATCGGTTCGGTAGGTAGGGTGCAGCCAGAAAAGAAACGAGCCGCATTTTGGCGCCGTGCGACAGCAAAAAAACAAAACCGCGCCTTCAAGGTTAGGTTGGATTTTGAAAAGGTTCGTCGTGTGTACAGTGCTTCAACATACCTACCTTAACTAAGACTTATGTTCGAACCACGCTCGCTGTGTAAAATCGTCAGTCGTCGTATAACCCGTGGTGGTTTTTTCTAGGGAAAGGGTCAAGTGAGCCAATCCGCGTGCGCGTGGGCGTATGTCCCTAGACTCCCTGGAGGTATCACTTGATACGTTCCGAATATCGGCGGCCCTCTCCCCATCCCACCACGGCATTCAGCCTCATTCACACTTTGACCCTTGAGGTTAGAAAATAGACCCAGAAAGGTAACAGCCTGGCATCGTAAAAGTCATGACTGGTGATTGCCCGGCAAAGTGTAAAGTGACCACCTACCTGGGGCAAAACGGTCTCATGGAACGCGACCCATGAGGCCGACCGACCGACCAGGCGGGAAAATGACAGTCCCGCCCGTCATGCAGCCACATAGCGAGCGGAGGCAGACGGACGGGATGCAGCCATGCAGCCTTATGCTTGTCTCACCTCACATCACATCACCCATTCATTCCCCAAGTGGAGGGAAGGGAATGATGCGCACTGGGACGGCGAGGCGGTTGGTGTTATCTATCAATGACAAGTCCAAACGGTTGAGAAAATGACTAAACACCTGCTCGTAAAAAAGCGCGAGCCGTCATCTCCCAGCTGACCTTCCATCCCTTGTCGGGCAACATGGACGGGAACATTCAAAAAGGAAAGGTGATGCAACACTATCGCACTTGAGCACGATTTCGCCGCCTAAAGGATAGTGCACTAACAGCCCGTCAGCTTCGACCCCCCCCCCCCCCCCCCCCCCTCCAACACTTCAGTTGTTAGCGACATCGAACAAAACTTGTACCGAACAGCAGCGGAATCTGGCTACGCCAGGTCTCAAGACAATTATGTATCTAATCTTCCATTCTACCTTCTCACCAACAGTCAAATATGGTATAAACGTCTAGTATAATACACACACACACAATCCTTTTTCCTTCTACCACTGCCTTACTCAATCACTTCCCAGTTCCCCTTGTATACATCTCACTGTCTTGTTCGACAACAACAACAACAACAACAACAACAACAACAACAACAACAACAACAACAACAACAACAACAACAACAACAACAACAACAACAACAACGATACTAACTCGCTTTACTTGTGAATAGGTGTTATAACACCCAAAAATAAAGATATGATATGCACTTTAATCACCAACCCCCCTTCTATCATACACCCACCCCTCTGGCTTTTCCCAAGTCAATCAATCACCTCTTCCTAGTATCCTTCCCCTTCCGATTCCGATTCCTATCCCTTCCCTTCTTGCGATCCCTCGGTAACTCCAACGGCGTTCCCTCCAAAGCCTTGGCCATGAACCCCAGCATGTACTCATCAATCGTATGCATCCTCTCTCCCCACGCATTATACTCAATCACCTCCTCCTCTACCTCCTTAGTCTCTTCTCCTCCCAAAAGTTGGCCATCCAAATCCGCCAGCCCATCACCCGGCGTTCCCGGGCGCGTACTGCCCGCCTCTCCGAAATCTGCTTCGTCCTGCATGATTTCCTTTTCTGCTGCCTTGGCCGCGTCGACATCCTCTCTATCTTCTGCCATCTCTAGGACCCTGCCCACGTTTCGCACAGGGGGTTGGGATGCACCGCCGCCGTCGGCAGTGCCGTCGTCGCCTCCTGTGCCGGTAGTTGACGGTCCACCGAGCACGCGATCCATGGCGAGGTTG